GCTCACCTGTTCCCAATTGCGATGACTGATGATAAATAAACGATGTACTAAATGAATATATGTGCCTTTTCGAAGACTGGTTCTCGATTTCAGTTTTTAAACAGGCCTCAGCTAAAGGTTCCTTTCTCTACAAACTTTTCCCATGAACTATAGATAGGTGAATTTCTGGTATTGTGAGCAAAAATAGCTGGCTTTCCTATGGCCTCCAGGCTAATGTCACAATTACAGACGTCACAGTGTGCGGAGCACTCACCCTTCAAGCTTTGTTTACCTTTACATTTTTTCCCGTACTCATCACGAAAAACGTTCTTACATTTGCTCATTTTTAAAATTTAGGCTAAAATAACCACCACCACGACAAAACCCAAGGATCGCCACACTAACAATGCTTCGTGCCTATCTGTGCCTTGCTCCTTTGTGTTCCAAATAAGATTCTGTTGCTTTTATGATGCCACAATAAAGCTTTGGCGATAAAACAAACAAAACAAAGCTTCATTTATGAAGTCCAAATAATACAAAATAAAAACACCCAAGCCAAAACTAAGAACGCAAGCCAAAAATAGGGACAAATCTTAGAAATAAGGACGGTATGGAATCCCTGACTTTAGACAACCCTGTTGTTTTTATAGGAAGCGCTGAATATTTGTATCGACGTGTTTCCTCTTGTTAATAAGCTGATATGAGGAATATTCGATTGATAATGACTGCGCTTCGCTCATCCATGTGCTAGTCGTCCATGCTAGTCGCATAAATGTTGTCTAAACGTGCCGTTTTACACAATGCAAATATTTGAAAAAAAAATATGGTATCGGGATTATTTTAACTTGTACCTGTACCATTTATATGCACATGTAAGGTTTTCCCTATGAAATACTCCCTGAACGGAAACTATAATTTAAATCGTTGCAAAAGCTGACACGCGCGCAATAATTTCCCTAATCTTGAGACAGACGAAAACCTATGTTTCCAAACAAAACTTCGAACATAAATGGTATCAGTGAACAGCATTACGAAGATGCACCCTATGCCACGTATTGATTTATGCTTGCCACAGCGGTATATTAAAACGTCAGTGAAGTTCGAAATTAATGAATCTGAGAGTTACAGATTAAACGCGAAATGATTCTTGTTTGTATGTTGCTAGAAATCTAAAGCTGTTGCTACCGCTACTGGTATATAGGAAATCTAAATTGAGTCGGGAAATGGTTAAGGCTGCATTTTGTAGGTATATACAGTTGAAATACAAATTACGAAATATAACTAGACACGATACAACAAAGCCATGCAGCTCCTTCGCGAGGGCAAGAAATGAGTCATCATCTTTTCCGCATACAACGTTATAAGAAAATATCAGGATCGGATCATGCCTTTTAGAGGTCATAAGGCTAAGCACTTAAAGACTTTTAGTGACCTATCAATAAAAATAATGAAATTAGAGTTCTATGTCATCCGAATGAGTTTCAGTATTGACTACTAATTAAAGGCTAAGTTATGCTTAATATACATGATATTTTTTGGAAATAATCCTTATTCCTACAATCATTTATAGAGGTGTAAGATGGTGAAAAAAGAAAATAATCAAAAATTCATTTTAACCGAGCCCATATTAAAGTCTGAATCGTTTGATCAACTCGAATTTCTTTATTATATCATTGAAAATTCGTCCACTAAAATTTCTGTGGCGCCCTCTATGTCGTGATGCACGTGCTTATTTTGCTTAATGGTTAATCGAACTCTGGAGATTGGAGAATATAATATATAAACATATGGGAAATAAAATCGGCCAACGACCTTGACAAATAACATGAGCTATTATTAATAAGTGATTAAAAGCATTGAAATCCACAGTAACTGTCCTTATGTACTCTTTACAACCGCCTTGAATTTGTAAATGATATGAGATGTGCTCTGTCCAAAATTTCTCATAGTAGATGAGATAAACAAAACCAAACAAACATTCTATTTAACTTGATCAAATATCAACAATTTTTGAAGTCAATGAATCCTTCTATTCTATGAGCAGGTCCTTGTGTTACCTTGTAGCCCCATTTAGGTTGCCCTCCATGCCGAGTTGTTTCACGCCGCTATTTTGATTTCATATCATGAATGCTCGGGGACCCCTCAAAATTCTTTCTGTGACCCTTGTCTGGAAACGTACAAGCCTTATGAATGAATGACCTCTTGTATAATAAACAGATTATGTTCATGACCCAACGTGTCCAGCACATTGAATTCCGTTGACATTAACTTGTATCACGTTATTTTAGCAAGCATTTTTAACACTACAGCGGTAAAATCCTGACTTGATGTTAATTTGCAATCCGTATTGAATAGGTCACGACTTCTCCGCACGTTTATTGCAACCTCGATAATGTGGGGGATTAAAAGTAAGACAAATTTACAGTGAATTAAATGTGATTCAGCAAACGATTGTCGCTCGAGCGGCGTGGGTTAAGTTTTGACTTATTTGTTTAAGGGGCACATATTTAAAATAGGGTTCGGTACAATTCGACCACAAATATTCATTATCGGTAAGTATCGGTGGTGAAAGTCTTTCATGGGAGTTTTGCCGATATTATCACTCCCATATTCACGTTAAATTTACTTATGTAGCTCGTATCTCTTTCCATAACAAATCTACAAGGTTCATTTATTATTGATCTGCTATATGCGGAGTATGCAGAGAGTTAAACATAGGAAACGTGCATGGTGCAATAAATTGTTATGATGAGGAATTTATTTGTGTTGCGTATATATATATATATATATATACTGTGACATAGGATATATCAGGAAAGAACATAATAGACAGAGCTCTGTAGAAACTGTCTTATGTCTTACCAACTACATTTGATGCCGTGTTAAATTCTGACTGTAATTGGAGTTTGTAATAGCATTTTATAACAGAAGAGTGTTCACCCCCATTGCGCATTTGGTTTGATGGATAGTATTTTCTCGAATGTTTCATGGTAATGCTATTAATGCTAAATAAGCATTCTTTTTAGATAAACAACGATCGCTTAACCCGGGTATAGTATTTTCACGATTCGAAAAAAAAACGTTCAGATTATTCAACGCATCAAGTTGTCGAGTCAAAATTTTTCATTTTTTTTTTAAAACAGGCAAGTACATTCGACAAAACAACTCGACAAAGTTATTACCTGCATGCGGTATTTAGATTGACCTAGTGGTTTCCCTTCGTGTTATTTTCGCTAACAGATTTTGCGTGTTCTTTGTCGAAAAGGAAATGAGTAAACGACCCTTCGGATTCAACGAATCGACCGTAGTTGATTTTAGTACTTGATTGGACTTAGTACTTAGATGAACTTGACTCGGGATTTAAATATTATTCAAGTGGGCGTGACTGAAACAAATTGAAGCGTATATATGAATATATATTACTAAATTTGCCAAAATCTGATATTTTTTGAAATTATGTCCTTATCGGTAAAACGATATTGGAAAATCTTTAAAAAATGCCAATAGGCCTACTCGTATATATATATACAAATAATAATTGTATATACATATTGAGGTTATATAGGGCATCTTGAAAATATTAAAAATGATACGTACAAATATATATATATAATAGAAGTGGTATGTTGTATATAAATATTCAGCATTTACTGTCTGCTCGAATGAACTTCCGATTCACGATATTTTTATTGTTTTACTGAATTTACATAGCGCTATGCCGAACTCCGACTTCCCAAATGAGGGTTTGAATATATAAGTGTCGTTTTTGGCTAAATGTTCATGTTACAATTCGCAAAAAACAAATATTTCCAACGTTAAAATATGCATTTGTCTGCATGTTTATCGATTTATCTGTTATATATATTTATATTCATTTTATCATGTGCCTTTTGTACGTAGCAAACAAAAAACCTTGAAAACCTCCATCACTCGATACGGAAAGAGTATTTTGCTATCTATAAACTTGGCTGTTTTTGATAAATATTTCGGGATTTTGACTAGTTACACAAATTACAATACGGAATAATGTTAGTACACATACGGTATGTGCAAGCTATCACCTATTTACCCATAAACACTAACTAAATCAGAATGAAATACGATCTTATGAGATTGATTGATAAATATTTGAAGACGATATAATTATATGATAGATATATTTTTCGGTCGTTTTAGTATATATATATCATGCATATCATATTTCGCCCGAAGGAGACGTATCCTAACGTTTCTAAATCTTTCTTGTGACAGTTGTGTCTTTCGGTCTGGATCCCAAATGTTAAGCAAGCGTGAAAGATGGACTCGTGAGATGGCTCAATTTTAGAACTCTCACATTACGAGCAAATGAATGGCTGAAATAGTTATTCATTTGCATTATATTTCCAGGCGAACGATGTACAGACCCAAGAACATCGAACCACGAATCAATAGAAATTCGACTCAGTTTTCAGTCAAGGTACTTTCCGTGATATCGGAGTCGGAAGGGAAAAAAATCCCTGCTCATATATAAACACCGAACAATGCCTGGCGACCATTTACAATTGAGCGGTACTGGTCGTCGGATGGCAAGCTTGGAGTATGTCTGACGCCGTTGATGCGTTAAATTCCTGTAGGTATTAATTTTCATTTATGTCGATTCACGATAGAGCGTGCTTGTTTTGTATACACAGGCAAAAATACCGTTACAATAAAACGTTTAGCCTAAATCGCTTGTCCGAACGGAATTGTCGTGCTTAGTTGAGTGAAATGTCTTGTCTGCTTAATGCAGTAATGCTGTAATGGTATTTCAGTATTTCCTAGTTCTGTAGTTGTACCTGGGTATCAGCGGCGAGTCATATCATGCTCAATACTCTGATACTATAAAAGTGGTTGAATTTTAAAATGTTCACTGATAGTTAGGTATCATATAGCTATCTCCTAGGCCATTCTTGTAAGTTGTTTGTTACTGCTGTACTGCTTTCTGGCTTTAGGCATCTTGGTACTACTTCACATTCTGACATTACAGCATTACAGGGTATCTTCTCATATTTCAGTTTTATTATATTTATAAAGTATTACAATATTCTGGCTTGTTTGTATTCAACATAGTCAATCTCTTTAGTCGGAACAGCTTTACTTTGACTGCGACATCTGCATCATAGACTACTCTTTCAGTCTTTCTGACGAACTGAAATAAAATTTTTCAAATGGAAGTTGGCATACAAGTCCATCATAGAGCGGAGCATAATCATAATAATAATGTGAACAAAGCAGTGGTAAACGGTTCTGTAAACGGAAGTAAAATGCCACATAGCCATCATACTAAGAACACGACAACTGTGACTTTCGGACAAAATTATCATTCAACAAATAAGCCCAATTCCAACTATAATAAAGATGATAATCAAAAGCCGAGTGCTGAAGAAACCAAGCAACAAACTGATAAAATTATGAAAGTTTTTTTTAAATCCATTGTTGATAAAAATGGCGTTGCAGAACAAATACGAAAAGAATCTCGGCAAAGATATGAATCACAGGGGTCGGTCTCAGCCCAGCAGTCACAAAGCAATAAGATCGTGACGTGAGTTTATTTTAAACATTTGATACAGGATGTAATTGAATCATTAATTCTTTAATTACTTGCTCATATTTATTAGTAAGTTACTGTATTACTATTATTAGTGAGGACCATTATTTCTTCACATTTATTCAGATCAGAGTGCTTTGATTCATTTGAAGGAAATCAGAATGTCTCCATAGTAAAATTGCACACTTTTTGCAGTTCATTGTGGCCCACAATTTTTTTTTTAAAAACACTCAATATTGTTCAAAATTACATTGGACTATGGTCATCAAGTCTTCTACATTTACAATTCCGATAACGAGTTTAGGTTTGCATATGTTTAATTAATAGCCATATTCTGTTGGCATAACTGACTTGCTTTCTTAAGAATAGGCCCTACTGGTGATTTTATAAAGTTCACCCCATATTCAGTATGGTATCATGCATAGGATAACTGCTATTAGTAATATTATTATTATTAAACTGCTTAAAATATATTTTAGGCCATCTATGGATTTTTTTTTTCAATTCAGCATGTAATTACATCTATAATGAAACTATTTACCTTGAGCTATATTGCAAAGCTTTGGAAATTGACACCAAGCAATTATATATTCAATCAGTGTTCCACATTTTTTGTCAAATCAGCTGTATCAATGTGCATGTAACTTAGCAAATTGACTACAGTATCATATGAGTACACCTGTTTCAACTTGTCATGTTTACCTTATTTAATCTTGGTGACTATGGCATGAAAATTTAATGATATAATTTATAAACTGCTGTGTAAAGCATAATGTGACATACCTGATGATTATTTTGTCCTTGATTCTTTGTGATAAATAAACAACTTTACCTGCTCTTTATGTTTTTACATTTGCTACTCATGAAGTGAGTCATTCGTGACTTGGTAATTAACTTAGAAAATCTGGTTATTATGCGTTCTTGGAAAATAATCATTCACAAAAATTGTTTATAAATTGGTAAATCCAAAGTTCTGCCAGACAGTTGATCGAATGATTTATAGCAGTTTGCATATCCTGTTTCTCTTTGTTGTTTGGCTCATATTTCATAATGTTTATGCAGGAATTATCATTCTCAAAGACCTAGTACATCAGATGGAAGGTCTGAACGACAAACACCAATAAGAGTACCTTTGCGAAAGGAATCAAATGATGAAGCCCTACAAAAAGTTATGAGAGGGGAAATACCAAACTCACTACGTCATCGATCAGATGTAAGTATGTTGTAAAAACTGGAGTTATTTCAGATTTGAATACAAATATGATGTGGAAATGAAGCATATCATTTTTAATATAATGTGTTTGATAATATCACCGTTGTCGATACTTCCTCGCACATAAAATGAGATTTTGCTCTATTGCATAGTCCAATACACTTTCTGATGGAATTTTTTTTTTCTCTGAATTGACGAGTCAATTTTATCAACAAATTTATTTCAGGCGAGCAGTGACAGTGCTGACAGTGAATTATATAAAGAAAGATTTAAAAGGAGCAAAAGTTTTTCAAAGGCTCAACGACACTCCATTGTTACTGAATTAGAAAATAGATCACCTAAGGTATAATATTCTTCAATGTGACCTATAATATTTTAGGAGAATAATTTTTCGATATTTAGTAAATGGTTATGTACAGGATCATAGGAATACAGGTTCATCAACAATCAGCATTAAATACTGGTCACATTGGCCTATTCCCTAATAATATGAAAATTACTGTAACCTTATATACCTATCACCCTTAGTCAAATTATGGTTTCTATGGTGAGGCGGAAGTATCAGCTATCCATGCTAAAGTGATTCTATGTGAGCTTTGTGGTAAAGGAAATAAAAAGCAGGAAAGCATCAACGCAATACTATTTGGTCAGCCCTTCACCTCATAGCAGGTTGAATCTAATATACTCACATTGTATGTATGCTATAACATATGACTACTATCTAGACCTGAATCATCACTTGTTTGTTTCATGTCTGTGTTCAACTGTTTGCATTAATATACCCTGCAAGGTTATTCTGTCTTTGAACAAGATTTAATATTAACTTTGGTAGAAGTTTCTTTATTTTCCACTCCACCCACACATTTGAGAATGATCTCAACTCATGATCTGAATGTATCATTGACCAAATAGATTTTATTTTAACACCAATAACCTCAATGCTTTCTGAGACTTGTTCTGATAGGGAAGGTAGATTTGTAGACGAACTTGGATGAGTGGAATTACTTCCATTAAGATGTTCTTAGGGTTTCTAAGGCTAATATTACTTTATTTTTCTTATTTCTATGTGTTATTCCTGCTGCCATATTATTGTGATATACATCTTGTGTAGTTTGGAATAAATTCATAGAAATGAATAGATCTCAAACAGGTAAAGATTTTCTATGTAACTGACAGCTGTTTGTGGAGAATTTGCTGTTGAGAATTCAGTTCTGTGTGTTTTGATGACATTGCTTCACATCCAATTTGCATAACTATTGTATATTAGTTGGAGTGAAAACATTATGTCAGATGGACTTTTTTTGATGTATGATTCTTGTCACTTTTCATTATGGTTGATTTTTCTGCATACAATATGTTATGCAATATTAATATTATGTTTACTCTTCAGACAACTTCCAGAAGAAACAGTGAAGACATCCGACAGACGTCACCACTTGAAAGGTACAATTTTATATTTTATCCTTTATTTCTGTAACTGAAATTCCCATTTTAATTGTGTTTTCTAGTTAGGAGAAACGTTCAGCTGTAATTAGAATATTCCTTTTAAGATTATTAAACAATAAGTCCGGTGCCATTCTTCTTAATAATTTTAAGTTCCTGAATATAAGTTGTTTCATTTTAATATAAACTTCCTCAATGTTATCCACAGATTTTTAATAGAGCAATTAATTCAATGTTGCGAAACTATTTATAAAACAATTGGGTTTGCTGTTTTTCAAACAAGAGCATACGAAACGTTTCATGAACTTTTTTCATCACTAACTTTATTGATTGACTATTGTGATACCAGGAAAACATTGAGGAAAAATAGTTGGTTTTTTGATTGAATGTTGTTTTTCCAAGTTGTGTAATTGTAATTAAAAGTTGTATATTGTGATTTTTGAGCTCCTACTGCTATCATTGAAGTATATTACAGTTAAGGTCTCATTCACTCAATTTGAAATGATGTTTATTCCCTCGTTTTTTTGAAAGTTTCACACCAATGTTGCAATATTCTGACGATTTCCAATTTGATTTGCTATCTTCAGTTATCATCACAAAATTTCATCAGCACTAACCATTCATTACGTATAGACCTGTTAGTAAATTAGTGCCTCCGGGGCGTTATGAAAATTTTAGACTGATCTTTATCTCAAGTTCCGTCAGTTGCCACACCGGTTGGGGAATTCAGAGCCGGAGGCAAGACTAGTGTTATGCTAGTATATAGGGCAGGCAAGTCTGCAACATTGCCTCATTGTTTTGGATGCCCTCTCGTATCATTGCAATGTCAGTAATTTATATGAAGTTTTATTCCTCTCATTTTTTTAATTTAAATCAAGATTCTATAACTGGGTGAGTTAGCTGTAGTTGTCAACTTTATTTTCTATTTCCCTTTCACTCAATGCTTAGACTATATTAAGTAATATTGTTTTCACTACTTGAAATTTGATAAAAAATTGGTCTGAAAAGGCTAAAATATTGTGTCATGACGTATTAATATATACTTGAACTTGATTCGGGCATCAGGTTTTCAAATATTATAAGATGTTTTCTCATTTTCTTTCTAAAAAAGGACGTTTTATGTGTAACTCAGCCATTTTTGTTGTAAAAAACAAAATTGATTTACCGATATAACCGTCCATATTTATTTAATATTTTCTGCATTCTGAAGGATTCATACTAAGGGTAACTTTATGTTTTGGTGTTTGTTGTCCAAATCATGCTCATCAGTTTGTCATCTTTATCATTGATTGTATACGTCAGATTAAGATTCTATAAGGAAGGGATTGCGTAAAGAGGAAGTATATGACTTCGTAAATCTTTGTTATAGTCGTACTTAAACTGTTGCTTTTCTAAGTACAACTTTCTGACGCACATCACAAAAACTTCAAGTTTCAGTATCCTATACTAGATATTCAATATGAATGAAAAGTTTTACGATTTTTCAAATTCATGCATGCTTCTGAGTTAATAATTATCTCGTAAACTGCTGTATGTATTGTAAACAATGAATTTGTGAGATAATAGGCAGTAATGTGTGTCTAATAAGTTTGCAAAGTTTCATATATGCGTTTAACGTTTTCTACATCTGGAATATTCCATCAAAGTGTCCTTTTTGTTCAATGTTTGAATGCTCGAATGTTGTTGTGATGATAATTCACTGACATTGGTTGGTCATCTTATTACTCATTCGTGGTTATCACTGTAGAATTGCTTGTCTCACGTCTGGGCAACTCCACACGCCATTAGTCATTACCACTTGTAATTTCTAATTTGTAAATCATGTTGGATCTAAAATGTTTCTAGATGGCTTTCAACCTGTGTGAAGTTATTTCAAAATTGGGAATTGGAAATTTGTGGAGTTGAAAAAACTATTACATTTGTCACACCAATGAAACTTGGGCCATTAGGAAATTAATTAGTTAACCTATATGTAAATATTTAGACTATTAAAAATGAAAGTTATATTTCATGAAAGTTTTTTTTTTGAAGCATTGAAACTTCGAAATGTCCCTGGGAATCATTTGCAACCTAAATCTTTGACGTCACAGGTTGCCACCGTATACCAGCGGGTGATTATAAAGTCTCGTATGTTCTTACCAATTACATAAATTGTACTATATTTGACCCTAACGCCATTATTTTACGCTGATATTGGGCCGATCACGTACGTCTACTGTGAATAAGCGTTTATGTCAGGCCTTGTTATTGCGAACGTCCGAGTAATAGAATAAACAAAGCTGACGCCATTGTAGTGAGTCACGTCTGATTTCATCAGATTTATATTTTTTACCATGGCCATCTAAAAACGAGACTGTTGCACTCCATTCTTCATTGAGTACGCTCGAGTAGGAAAGTATAGAATAAAATAACGGGTATAGAAATCGACTGGTGAAATACTACATTGATTTCATTTGTTCCAAAACGGGATTTATATTACTCTGCACTATTATAGTGTATTACCTTTCTTCATGCCGTTCGTCCGCCCACTCATTTATAACAACCTAAATGTGTCCCCTTAAAAGACAAAAGGACCCTCGTCTTTCGACTATTGAGCGATTGAGGACCTTGCGTGCGTAGCCTTCATAATAATTTAAAAAGGAATTATCTGAAACAAGCGACCAACGCTCTCTATTGTGTTTCTTTGTTTTATTATTTTTGGAGCGTCGCCCCCTTCCATTGTATATTCGGTGACTCATTTTGGACGCAACGTAATGTTAAACCTCAGTTAATTTGATACAGAACAAATCCGTTCAGAAATTAACTCCAATCTCTTTCAATGTAATTGCTGTGGTAACAGATAACGGTCCACTATTACCAACAATTGTGCAAGTCCTATCCGGAACTAATGTAGAGGTTTCCTAAGCTAATTAGAAATTATATACATTGTTTCATGGTGAATGACAATGAAAATTTGTCTGAGTGCGGATGTATCTCTATGATTATAGAAATTTGATTCAATGTTTGTTTATTGTAAATTGCACACGAGTTCGAGAAGCGTGTTTTCCAGTTCCTGTTAACGGATACTGTTTGAAGCATTGGTCTACCTTTAATGATATAAATAACACAGATAAGATCACTGAAGAAAAATTGTAAGAATTGCTCACAGGTTCTTTGTGGCATATTCTTCACCAGAAAATGTTGTATAGACAAAACCATGACTTGTTTCATATGTAAATTGATTTTGGATATTTTGAATGCATTTGAAGATCACTTGAATGATGTGGGTTGATATAGGCCAATGCAGCGAAGCCAAAACTTCAGGCATTAAGTTCAACAATTTTTTTTGTTTTTCTGAAGGTTCTGAAAATTCTATTAAAAGGGTAAAAGGAGCAGGCTTTAAAAATTATCATTCTTGTACGTTACAAAGATATCTATTTCACATTCGCACTTTGACCTCAAAAAATAAACTACTTGATTTATCCAGAATTAATGCGGCAGTGGAAATTTTATTGTTCGTTGCTTACAGTTTCTAATTTTGAAGTGTCTCTGGGATTTTACGGATTCGTTTTTCATTCCCACGCCTCACTCGTTCGTTTGTACACGTGTTCGACCTTTGTTCGCTCATCACAGTCCCCACGAAATACAGCGTTTCCCCTTTTCGACTTGATAGTTTGTGTATATTGTAAGGACCACACCCATGGTTGTTTGTCATTGAAGCGTTATAAGCTTACTTTTCAAAAATTAGGCGTCGATTCGTCGTCCTATTTTGTCGTCTGCCGTATTACGTCATAATTGACGCATGTTATTCTCATGATCATACTTTTGATACAATTGTGTGATATTTTTCGAAAATCAAGAATTGGAACTAGTAAGTTATTGAGTGGAGTCCAGTATTTCACCGTTGCCATAACCTTTATACGTGATATATATTGATATTGTGTCAACCCTCTTGCCCTTATGGCGCAATATTTCGCCCGTCGTCGCTAATAAGAAATAAGCCACAACGTGTTCTATCCACATTTCCCTATTCCACAAATCATAACAATTGAGAAAGCTATGTTTTATGTACAAATACACACCTCGTTAAGCAGGCGTTTAATTATAGTTTGCGCTCGTGAACCCGTGACAACACGGTAATTTATTTCCACAGCTTGGAATGAAAAAAAACATGGCTTTTTTTTATAAAGACTAGTCTTATGAACTCACGCCTGGCGTATATTTCACCATAGACTAATAATAAATAAAAGAGATATGGTTAAATACATCCCCATATATAAAAAGTTATTTTTATCTGCCCTTCATGTTTGATACATCGATGTAATTTGACTGGTAAATGACTCATTTTTGCTTCAATGTTATTATTGTATCATTGTCTACACCCCGTTCTATCGGGACTCTTTGTGTGCCAGGCGGCTGTTTGAAACCCACATAAAAAGGACATTTTCTTTGTTTGATTGGTATTCATAGGGGGTGTAATGGGTTAAGACGCTTGACTTGTATGTATATTGGCACAGCTGTAATCACTGGTAATCGAACAGGGTGAATTTTGTTAATATTTTGATTGCCTCTTCAGATTGTCATTTAATAAGAAACACAGCCTTTGTTTATTGTTTTTTTTTTATTTATACAGGACTCATTTATGTGATCGAAATTGAACACAAATGAGTGAAGGGGTAAATGAAATTTGATTCCTAGTCTAAATGAAAACACCTGTTGCCAACAACTTATGATGATCGCTGACCAAATAATGGCTCTACCGCAAATCGTGCATTTTGCCGACCTTGGGCCATTGATTGGATGGTACCCACCAAACGCGTTCACACATCTCCGACGACTTTTTGACGGATGATGAGGGCTCTCAATTAAGTTCATTCTGTGGTACATTATCTAAACTTGCGTGTACCATATTGCTATAATTATAGTTATAATAGTTTTTCTTTATCATCCAATTTCAAGAGCGCAGCTGGCCTAATGTGGTGTCACAATTAGTCATATAGTCTCGAAAAGTCCGGTTATCG